TTCCTGATGGAAGTAGAGACCTCTATCAGAGAAGTCTTGGGCATAGTATGCTTCAAGGATCCTAAGATATATCTTGATTATAACACCTAGACGGCAGTGTATGTTAGCGCTTGTTAAGCATACTTTTCATGCTGTGTCTAAATACTTTGGATGAAATCAAAAGCAGAATCTCAGATGTGCTTCTCCTTTGGAATCTCCTTCAAATTCTTCTTGTTCCATTCTGTCCATTGTTGATACTCCCTTCCACTCTGTCTCGATTTCATGCCCCCTCTTCTCAGTTTTGCTTTCTCTGCAGAATTAGCTCCAGTTCTTCCTGTGGAAGCACCATGTCTTTCTGTGCACCTGCAAATCATCACTCAAACCTACAGTTTAACATTAATATCAGCTTTACTTGAATTCCCTCTCTCTGCAGTGCTAAGCTTAGTGGCTATAAACACACTCCTGAAAGTGATTAATAATTAGGGAGCATATTAGCAAGGCACTATTTGGATATAGCTGACCTTAAACCAGCTTAATTCCAGGATTAGCTACAGCTGATCCTTCACAGTAGCACTTTGAGGCGTCTGTTGAAACAGGGCTCAGTTGTGCCTTATGTTGTGCACCCAGCGTCAGACAGCCTGTATGAAGAACAAGAAGTTCTTCGCTTATGCCGATGGTAAAATGTAGTTCAGGAAAACTGCTTTCTCATAGTTTTCTTCTTAATTAGCCTTAAGAACATCAGTTTCTAAATCTGGGTTTGTTTGGTTTCTGTACAGTTCAGCAAACACCGAGCATGACAGCAAGGCTGAAATCCGAGCTGTTCTCGCCTGAAGATCAGCAGTCCCCTCTCGCTCACGTGGCAGCTGGCAAACCTCTCGCCTGGCCTCCCTAGTGTTCCTGCCACCTCTCCCTGTCTGGTCTGACTCCCTGCTTTCCCTGTCTTCCTATGCAAAATGATGAAGAAATGGTGAGAAGGTGAAGCGGGCAGTCATGTGAAAGGAGCTGGCAGCATTTTGAGACAAGAGAGTCATCTCAGCTCATGCTGTGAGGACATGGGCATCTGAGAAGGTGCTGCAGTAGCTCAGGCCTCAGCCTGGATGCTGTGGTCACCTTCCAGGGACCTAAGTTTTGCAGAGCCTCATGAAATCTAAAATTTTTTGACCTTTTTTCTCCATTACATCAGACTCAGGCTTCCAGTTCTTGAGGTCCTTCCCAGCTCTCCTCTTCCACGCTGGTCACCTGCTGTCCTGTCTGATCCCGCAGTCCTGGTTCAAGTTCTGCCACTTTTCAAGTTCAGCGAGCAGCTTTGCACTTTTCTCCTCTCGGTCCTTTTCCAGGCAGTTCCTGATACAACTTAGGGAAAATTATCCAAGTTCATGGCTAAACTTAACAGCATCCAACACTGTATCATATTTAATGTAAAGCTACAACTAATTTTTAAATGAGTCAGAGCCATTGTGTAGGTGACCCAGAGTACTATCCAAATCTTATTTCTGACTGTTGCCCCTGGCCTCCCTTCTCCTCCCTCTTTGCCTTCACTCCGTTCATATGTTCCATGTTATTTTATATACTGTTGCTGATTTTTCAGGGCAAAAATTTAATCTCTCTAGATGTGTTGTTTCACACAGAGGGCACTGCAACGTTGATTCTGGTTAGGGTTTGGGGCAGTCGTCTGCTAGAGTAAAAACATTCAAACATGATTCCAATTAGATGCTGGCTGGGAAACCCATATTAAGGCTTGCTGCCTTTCGGAGTTAGCCCAGTCCACTGGTAATGAAGCTGGGTTTTTGGGGTCAGAAGGAAGTATTTAAAAAATTGGAGAGTTAATAAACTTTTCATTAAAATATCTTTATTTTTTTTTCCCCTCACCTCTATGAATATTCCAAAAGGATAAGAAACTTGTGTGGAAACCAGTTTTACTCAGAATAATTAATATTTGTATACATATAGATTTACCTTCAGTGTAAATTAGAAATAACACTTTTATAGTGTTATTTCAGACTTAGTACAGATTCAGTACAGACTTAAGCAGATTCAGAATAACAGGCTTTTACCTGTTCTAAAAATGCGATGGTTAGCAATGGTCCAAACATCCTTTCTTGGTTGTAATGTTTCTTCTTCATCTGCTCCCATTTCAGTCGCAGCCACTAAAGCCCTTCTTTTTCCTTACTCACCTTACCCAGAGGACAGAGTTAAGGCTTTTACTTACTAAATTTGTCCTTC